TAATAAAATATATATATATTTTTGAGAGTTTTAAATGAAAACTTTAATTTCATTCTAATTTAATTTCAGTTTATTTCCGTGCATCACTAGATATAAGCCACGTTTCCTTTTCACACATCAAAATGTTTACTGCCTTCACCATTTGCAAGGCCATTTCTTGGGAAAATCTTTAAAAATCAAGTTTGGTCTGAAGATCATTGCCACATATTTTGGTAAAAAAAAAATCCCGTTAGAGTCCATGATAAGCACTTTCATGAGCCAAATAATCAGTGGAAAAACAATTACATTGGTTTAAAATTTATGAACTAAAATGCAAGTGCAAAATACAACTTTAACCTGTTGATGGCGCTAGAGGGTTTAAGAGGCCAATCCTAAGATTTCGAAGATTGAAGCAAAAACCCTCCTCTACCTCTCTGCCAAATTTCATGACTTTCTGCCGTATGGTTCCAGAGGCTACCATACAAATACAATAGGTGGCCACACACCTTCGGCCTCTAACAAGCAATAATCAAAAGAAGAAGAGTAAAAGGAAACAAGCAGTCAGGCAGAAAGAATGAAGACAGGGAGACGGTGATAGAGCGGGTGAGGAGATGACACAAGGAGGATGGATGTGAGATGAACAGTTGCATTCCTTTATGAGTCTGTCAGGTTCTGTGACTGGAACAATTGATTATTAGAGCTGCTTTGTTTGGAGGGTCCACTGTGACCTGTCTGAGAGCAGCGGAGATGCTTTGACGGATGCGGACAGCTCTGAGAGAGGCGAGGCGGCGCGTCTTAAAGTGACACGAGTGAGAGCCGTCCAGGGACACGCATTTCATATGCTCTCTGCCATCCTCAGTAAAGGCTTGATGTGCGTTTCATTATAACTCCACATCACTACTACATTTAAGATGACAGTATCTGGATGTTGAAAGCTATCAAGACATGTCCAAATCCTGTCACATAGTCTCAGCATCAGACATCACACCCAAGACCTGCACAAAGTCAATGTTATTTATAAACACCTCATTTTTCACGTTAAAATAGGCATTTGCTAATTTACAACAGATTTGGCTACTAAATTCAGTCTCCAAAAATACAAACCAGGATTGCTGAACAATCGCATTTCATGTTCAGTTTTTGTGTTTGTGTTTTCCTATTTCAATGAAGTTAGTGGACATTTTCAATGTGCTATTCCATAAAAATCACCATAACACACCTTCACTTATTCAATTTCGACTGTTAAATAAGCATTGCAGATATTAAAGACTGCGCTTGTATGATTTTTAATTAACCAATAGTCTAGTTTCCATCACAACTGTGAATAATGATTTGCTACTTGCTATTGAAAATAAAGCTGAAATAAAATGAAATATAAATATTAGATAAAAACTTAAAAAACACAAAAACTAGAAATGTTAGTACTATTGCAGTAGGCCTGATGGATGAAGTAATATTATGACCAAATAAAAATTAAGTAAAGCTAACTTGAAAAATTAAATATTAAAAGAAAACAAAAGATCAATATTAGATGAAAAACATAAACGTATAAAAAATTACATGAAAATTAGAACTGTTGAAGTTAGGGATGTTCATTTTAACCGTTTAACCGGTTAACTGACAGTAAGAATTTTGACCAGTTAATACAATCAGTTAAACAGTTTAAAAAGTCATTGAATTATGAATTTTTTTCAGTAATTTATCAAAATATTTAAAACGGTTTGCTGCATGGTTAAAATACGCTACGCGTATAAAAAAAAAAAGTTTTTTAGGGGGGAAAAAAACCAAGTCGCGTATAAGTCGCATTTTATTATTTCATTCAGAAATAGACCTAATGCCGACGCGAAATGTTTACAAACATTATAATAAACACTGTAAACATAGCTAGTTTTAGTTCCCCTCACTCCACAACAAATCTTTTCAATTAACAGTATTTAGAAAAGAATTAAAGAATTAAAAATATAAGAAGCTATAGCAATATAAATGACAAGCCAAAACAAATTCATTTAGGTTAAAACGAAACTGAAACCAACGTTGGGTCTCTCATTCCACACAAAATCAAATGTTTTCATATTCGCGATGTATTTGAATGGCAAATTATTATTTATTATGTACTTCACTCGCGTTCCAATATCCACGTAAAACAAAATGTTTTACATCACGGCAGTACAGTGCAGTACAGTACACCTTAACGGCTTAACAGATTTTACTACATATTTTTTACTACATATTTTTTTTTTTTTACTACATAGTTTTTTTTTCCATATGTGTGACTGACTGTATTTTATTATGATAATGAACAGGCTGCATTGTCAAGGTAGCAAAGCTTAACTGTGTTCGCACATGCGGCGCTGGTGCAATCACTTGAGTTTTTTCCTTCTAACAGTGGAAGAAACTACTCCTTTTAGTCCTAAAGATAATTGGAATTGTAAAAGGTTTGCCTTTATTTTTATACATTCACTATAAAAACAAATCTTTGTGCTTTTGTAAAATAAGCCTAAAGAAATATAGGATGCTGCTTTCTGCCGTGTGTTTCCTTTCACGCAGCACAAAAATGAACCGAAACTCTGCACACTAGGCTACTTGTTTTTCTTACATTTTCTTAATTTATAATTGAAGTAAAAATATGTTTCTCGTATAGGCCTATTTATTCATTATATATATATAGCCTAGCTTTATTATGTTTTTCTCCGCTGGCAGAAGCGCTGCAGGTGCGTGATGTGATATGATG